CATGGGCCATGACTGATAAGCAGCTACCGTCCCAAGCCCAGAAGCCCTGCAACTCACAATTCGCCATCACACAATTAATGCATAATAACATCCTCTCTCTCAAAAAAAAAAAAACCCCCGCATAACAGACCGACGCCTCCGTGCGTCAGAGACGTGCACCCACCGTACTTGAGGTTTCCCCATGGATTTTTTTTTTATTTTTAACACTTTTTTAAAACTATTTTTAAATATAACATTGTTTATTTTTTTTTCAAATCTAATACTTATGGCCACGCCTATTCGCATGGCGCGGCGAATTCAAACTGCCGCGCCATGCATGAAGCGCGACAGAGACGATGACGTGGCAGCGACCAGAGCCGCTGAACGCTGACATGACCGGACTACCACGCCGCGGATCTGGCGTGGCAGTGCCATCGAGAATGGAGCGGCAATGCTCCCGCCGGCCTAGCTACGTACGGCGTATTGGCCGAGGGGCACTGTGGTTACTACACGGAAATCGGTGCGCTCATGTATTGGTCCGATGCCTGGCCGTGTAGGAGGAGATCACTGTGCTACGCCGCAGACCTCAGTTGTTAAATCCGTCGCCAGAAAGCACTCTGAACCGCTGCGACCCTGTTGGGCTCAAAGTCTCTGTGCCACTCTTCCCATCAAGCCACACTACTGTACGTATCAAACAGGTTTTTTTATAACAATAATTTTAAATATATTACCTTAAAGCACGGTACAGCAATAGGGCGTGTGCATAGTCATATGCATGCATGTGATGAATGGACGTCTCTATAGCTACTACTAAGCTCCAGGTCACGCTATACTAGCTGCCACACTCACGCACCTCGCTAGTGTGTGTGTATATATATATATATATATATATATATGTATATATGCCTAGAATAACTTGTTCTATAGGCACTTTGATTTACGATAATGTTTATATCAATTTACGATAACATAAATATGTATTTACGATACTCGTGTTACTATAACTCACGGTGACATTTACTATAATGTTCTAGTAAATCACTTACTAAGGTTGTAGTCTCGTAAATTAGCATAGTAACTATCGTAACTCAAAGTGGCCACAGAATAAGTTATTCTATGGCCAGCTGCAGAACAGTAGTTATATATATATATATATATATATATATATATATATATATATATATATATATATATATATATATATATATATATATATATATATATATATATATGAAATTATTTTCTACACCTAGGGAGTAGTTACTCCCATATATATATCTCTAGATTTAGGACGTATATGGTCCGATCAAGTATATGTAGATGGGGTATATCATCATACTAGACCATCTAGGGTGTTATGTATGGCAAGTATATATGTATACTTAGAGTATATGGTTATACTTATTTTATATGCTACTATCATAGGGAGTCTTCGGCTGGGATAAAAAAACATTGTTCATGCTGGGAAACACTGTTTATGCTGGAATGTTGTGAGAGAAAAGCACTGCTCTGGCTGAAAAAAGAAGCCGAACAAGCCGACTTTTTTCCCTAGCCGAACACTCCCATAGTATTATATAATATATTAAAAAATATGTGCTCTTTTAAAAAAAAATTCACACAGTAAAGATCTGAAGTATCTTAATATTAGTATGTCAACATACTCAAACTGATAAATGAATATGTACACATACGTAACATGATTTATTAATTATGGGAGAAACTACACCAGGAGTATATAAAATGCTCTCTCTCTCTCTCTCTATATATATATATATATATATATATATATATATATATATATATATATATATATATATATATATGCGCGCGCGCCAAGAGAGCATATATACGACGACGACGATCGTACGTACCTTCCAGAGATGTGCTTCCTGACTTTGCCTGCGCAGCCCTGGCAGTGGATGGCCACCTTCATCACCACCACCTACACACACATGTAGTACCACGCACGGTAAGCAATACAATGACCAGAATCTCTGTAACCACGCCTCTTCTTGGTCACGCCTCATGGAGGCACGTGCAGTTCGTGTGTTACTCGTGATTTTTACTCAAACCATCATCAGAATTACGTATATTATTATTAGTGTTAGGACGACACCAGTACCACTAATCTTTTTTTTATGTTCATCCTCCATGCACCAGACACTCCACTGCCAGGGCTGCGCAGGCAAAGTCAGGAAGCACATCTCCAAAATCGAAGGCACGTACGATCCTCGTCGTCGTATGTATGCTCTCTTGGCGTGCGCGCGCGCGCATATATATATATATATATATATATATATATATATATATATATATATATATATATATATATATATATATATATATAGACACACACACTCTAGCGTGCGTGAGTGTGGCAGCTAGTGTAGCGTGACCTAGAGCTTAGCAGTAGCTATATTTTTTTAGAAAGGACGGCAAAAGCTTGCCGCGAGTTTCTATTAGACGAAGAAAAGAAAAAGAAGGCAAGTGCTCCATTCAGTTCTTTGAATGGAAACTGGGCAAAAACCATACAACTGAGGAGAGCCCCGCTCATCCTACACAACTTGATACAACAACTCAGCACCAACTTGTCGAATCGACCTCAGCTAACCAACTATCTCAACTCACGCCGCCACTTGCAGCTGGTCGACGTCCACTCAACTCGACTCTACTAGAACAAACTCTCCACCACTGGCACCACCCACGCAACACAACAGCGAAAACGACGCACTAGCCCCGCCACGAGCCGTCTCGGCTGAGACAAATTCCACAACGACGCCTTCAAGAAGGTAACGACGTCCAAGCGCCGCCGTCGCTCGTCCAAGGCCGGACTGGGTTTTCACCCGTGGAGAGTGCTGTGGACGCGACGCCCTCAACGGGGGGAACGGCACCCGCAGGTGTCGCCGTCACCAGGCCTTCGCCCAAAGAAACCACAGCACGGTCGTCGGTCAAGATGCCGGGTCCCTGCCAGGCACCAAAGACGTCGCCGCCAGACCACCAGCCGAGGCCACTCCGAGGGGGTCGACGCGCCGGCCACGCAAGCAGCCGCAAAGCTGCGCCAGCACCCCCGCCGACCGGACCACATGCCGAAGAACCAGCCTTCCGCCGCCGTGTACGTCCACCTTGGGCACCGTCCCATGCCCTGAAGATCCCGGATCTAGGGCAAGGCCCCAGACCAGCACCCCCGAAGACGCCGAGGCCTCCGTCCTCGCTGCGACCGCTCCGCGCCGACAGCCAGGATCATGTGGGGAAGAACGGCATAGAAGGGCCGCCCCCCAACGCCGGCATGAAACCCAACCACCGCCACAAAATGGCCACCATCGAGAAGAAGGAGAGGGCGAGCAGAGAGGGAGGGAACCCCGCCGCTGCCCCCTGCGCCCGCACGGGCACACGCGTCGGCAAGCCCCAACAGGGAAGTGTGGCCTCCACCGGGCCCGGCAATGCCGGTAGCACCACCACGGCACCGCAGGCCTGCCACCGCCACGGCCGGCCACGCCACCACGGCATCGCCGAAGGAACCACACCGCCACCGTTGGATTGCCGCCCAGACGCCGAAGACGCCGCCCAGCCGAACCACCAAGCAGTCGATCCACCTCCTTGACAAAACCGCCGCTGGTGCCCAGCCGAACACCAGCGCCGGTAGTCACTACCACCGCAGGAGCACCAAATCCGATCCAGTGAAGGCCGGATCCGGCCGCCAGAGCGCCAGATCCGGTAGCCGGAGCCGCCACCGCCGCCGCTGTTGCGCCCGCTGTAGACGCCGGCGAGGACCAAGACGGCGAGCAGCAGCCTCCATCCCACGCCCACTCCACCTCCGAGCGCAGCAGCAAGCTGCCGCGCCCCCTCCGCCACCTCTGACCTGCTGTCGCTGCCGGCCATCGCCGGGCCAACGGAGGAGAGCTGCCGTAACAGCACCACCACCACCACCACACCGCACCAGCCTCGCGCACAAGCCACACCGCCCACCGCCACGGACACCACCGTCAAACCGTCGCACCGCCATGGATGGGCGGCGCAGCCGAGCACCACCATGGCAGCCAACGCCGCCCCGCACGGCCACGAGGCCCACCAGCGTAGATCCGGCATGGGAGCTGCCGGATCCACCCTCCACGGCGTCGGATCTGCCACCTCCGTCGAGGATGGGGTCGTCGCAGCCGCCGCCGTTGCTCGCAAGCTGCTGGCGCCGTCGCCGCGCGCCCACCAAACGGACGGGGAGGGGACGAAGAGCCCCGCCGCCACCGTCATTGTGACTTCACGGCGAACTGCCGGAGGGCTCGGGCGGCGGCGAGGATGAGGGCCGCGAGAGGGAGGTGTGCGGCAGCGCAGGCTTGGTCCGCCCGTGTCGCCCTTGGCGAGCGACGCGGGCGTCTGTTTTTAGTTTTATTAGTAGTAGCTATAGAGACGTCCATTCGTCACATGCATGCATATGACTATGCATACGCCGTACTGGTGTACGGTGCTTTAACGTAATATACTTAAAATTGTTGTTGTAAAAAAAACTGTTTGATACGTACAGTAGTGTGGCTTGGCGGGAAGAGTGGCACAGAGACTTTGAGCCCGACAGGGTCGCGGTGGGTTTAGAGTGCTTTCTGGCGACGGATTTGACAACTGAGGCCTGCGGCGCACACACAGTGATCTCCTACACGGTCAAGCATCGGGCCAATACGCGAGCACACCGATTTCCGCACAGTAACCACAGTGCCCCTCGGCCAATACGCCGTACGTAGCTAGGTTAGCGGGAGCATTGCCGCGCCCAGATCCGCGGCGCGGCAGCCTCGGCCACGTCATCGCCCCTGCCGCGCCCCCTGTATGGCGCGGCAGCTTGAATTCGCCGCGCCATGCGAATAGGCGCGGCCAAAAGTGTTAGCTTTGAAAAAAAATAAACAGTATTTAAAAAGTGTTAAAAAATAAAAAAAAATTCTCCCCTTGCATCTCCTGCGATTACTCCCCCAGTCTGGTGACCTACCGGAGCAGGGGTTTTTTTTTTCTTCTTCCGAGACAGCTCAAAAGCACCACACGCCATGAACCCAGGGAACAGCGTCAGGTTGGCCGGTTTGGTGCCTAGCGCCCAATTCACGGCGCACAAGTTCGGGCATTCCAGATGGCAAACGGCCTGATGTGAAAGCGGTCAAGGCTGCCAGCAGAAATGTGAGTTGCTCCTTTTCACCAAAGAGATCATATGTGAAGAAGAAGACCACGACCTCATCGGTAGATGAATCTTATGAGTTATTTCTGAGCCTTGTGAAGTTCAAGGATGGTTTCATGGTTATTGAGCCAGAACCTGGTGTCACCATTGTATATGAGCGAGAAGAAGATATGCCAGCTGGATATGATGAATGGAGAACTGGCAGTTCCACAAATGAACTGCCTTTGGTGTTTCCACTTGAAAACATGGAGGAAGACTACACCATGCAAAGATATGACTATGGGCTTGCACCCGCTAACGAAATTGCTTCTGAACATGAAATGGCTGCACCTTCTTCAGAGAACATTGATGGTCAGGATATTATTTGCACGGATGAGCGTGGCCTCGTACTTTATGCTGAACCATCTGATTTAAATGTAAGATTCTTTTGCATAATTTCTGGTTCTCTTCAAATGATGCTGCCTGTTCTATAGCTGCCTTTTGGCCCAGGCATGTGAAGATGAACAAGCAACACCTCTTGCTATCAGTTACGGTGGTTCATCTACATTTGATGAAAAACTCAATGCTGTTTTAAGTCAACCATATGATCAAAACGAATACGAAGAGCTTTGGAGAAAAGCCACTGACCGGAAGCCTGTGAGCAGACAAAGACACTTGCGAAGTGCATCAAAGCGCTATGTTACAGAGGCAATCGGGCTGTCATATCTCGATTATTACCCAGGTATAATTACAAAGCTTGGTAGGGGAACTTGTTTGTCCTAACGAGTTAATTGAGCACCTTTCTATCCATCTCCAGCCACTATATCCTGCTATCCGTATGGGTTGTAATAAGTACTCTTGGTTTACAAAAGGAAAAGGCAGATTCCTGTGATTTGATCAGGTGGTTGACAAGCATTTAGTAGCCAATTGTTCATTTTCCAATTGAGCTGCATTAGCCAAGTAACATATGCTTTCATCATATAACTCTTACCACATAAGGAAACTCTGGAGGCCTCAGTCTTTCCTCCATCATATGAATCATTTGCGTCCATTTGGAAATGAACTAAGTTTTTGTTGTTGTATAGTTTCATAACCACAATAACATGATATATAGCAACCACAGAGAGTAAGACCTTGAACTTTTAGGTAGCTTTAGCTTCGTCCTGGTTTAATTTACCACAGTTTTTTTATGTTATATACATGTAATGGAGATACCAGTGGGCTTTTTCTTGAAACTGAGATCTAGATTTTTATATATGTGATGCCTATATGACTCATGCATTTTGTAATGCATCATCTCATGATTCTATGTTGGCCCACGGAATCACCGGCTCAGGTGAGTCGACCACTCACCGGTTTTGTCGAGCACCCATAGCCGTGCCGATCACGAAGAAGCGTTGTCCGTCCCCACACACTACGGCTAGAGATAGAAGAAGAAGGGAGAACAGAGTATACACACACAGCAGAGACACCAGCGTTGGCCGGAGCCCTGTATAGGAGATGGCAAATCTGAACTCTCTTTGTTGAGTTGCAGTGGCAAACTATATATACAACTCTATCCATCTAGTCCTAGTACAGCTGCCATGCTGCAACAGGGACTAGATAACACAGCAGGGCTGACTTTGCGCCGGCCTCTGCATGTGGCTACAGTGCTGCAGGTGAGCCGTGCAGCGCCCGCACCTGCAGCGGCTACAATATCACAGCAGGGGGCCTTTTTCGGCGCCGCCTTCCCTTGCTGTGTTCACACAAAGTAGCAGTAGATTATCTAACAATCTTCCCCTAATCCTACTGCTAACCCCTGTACCCCCTCTATGCCGATCATCTCCTTCAGCTCCGTAAGTCGAAGACGTCCGAGCGGCTTGGTAAGGACGTCCACGAGTTGCCGGCCAGTTTCGACGAACTCAATGACGATCTGTCCTCCATCGATACAGTTACTGAGGAAGTGGAACTTCACGTCGATGTGCTTGCTCCGGTCGTGCAGAACCGGATTGTTCGCTAGGGCGATGGCGGGCTAGTTGTCCACCATCAGTGCTGGTGGGTGAGCTTCCACGCCGATCAGCTCACCTAGCAGCCGGCACAGCCACACAACTTGGCACGCCGCTGTGGCCGCCGCTACGTACTCTGCCTCGCACGTAGAAAGCGTCACCACCTTCTGTTTCAACGACAGCCATGAAATTGGAGCCGACCCGAGGAAGACGAGCACGCCAGAGGTGCTCCGCCGTCCGTCGATGTCCCTAGCCATGTTTGCATCGCTGAAGATAGTGAGCTGCAGCCTACTTCCGCCGGTCTTGGGGAAGACGATCCCGTGATCCATTGTCCCCTTGATGTAGTGTAGTAGCCGCTTCACTGTAGCCCAGTGATCCTCTCTGGGATCCTCCATGAAGCGACTGGCGTAGCCCACGACGAACACGATGTCCGTCCTCGTGTGGACTAGGTAGCGTAGACCACAGACGATGCTCCGGTAGAGTGTTGCATCCACCTTCGCTGCGGTGCTGGCCTTCGTCAGCTTTAGCCGCTCCTTCATTGGAGTCACGCATGGCTTGCACTCATCCATGCCGCTCCGCTCCAACAGCTTCGAGGCGTACGCGCTCTGACCGAGCGTGAGTGCCTCCCTCTCCTGTCTCACCTCGATGCCGAGGTAGTAGGTGAGCGCTCCGAGATCGCTCATTAAAAAACGAGCTTCCATCTCACGCTTGAAGCTGTTGATGTCCACCGCACGCGTGCCGATGACGATCAAGTCGTCCACATACACGCCGACGACGAGCTCTTCCTTCCCCCATCGCCGCGTGTAGAGCGCGTGCTCGGTTACGCACCGTGTGAACCCAAGCTCGCTCAGCATGGCGTCAAGCTTGGCGTTCCACGCTCGCGGGGCTTGCCGCAGCCTGTAGAGCTCCTTGCGCAGTCGGAGCACCCTGTGCTCCTCATCCTTGATGGCGAAGCCTGGAGGTTGGCTGACGCAGACTGTTTCCGCCAGCTCACCATTGAGGAAGGCCGATTTAACATCCAGATGATGGACACGCCAGTCCTTTGCTGCTGCCAAGGCTAGTAGCAAACAGACAGACTCCATGCGCGCTACCGGCGCAAAGACTTCCTCGAAGTCGATGCCCTCGCGTTGTACAAAGCCTCGGGCCACGAGGCGCGCTTTGTGCTTGACAACGGCGTCGTGCTCGTCCCACTTGACCTTGTACACCCACTTCAGGCTGATCGGACGGTATCCTGGAGGTGGATCGACGAGCTGCCAAGTATCATTTTCCTCGATCACCTTCATCTGCTCCAGCATCGCCCGTCGCCAGTTTCCATCGCGCTTGGCTAGCGCGAACATGGGTGGTTCCTCTGCACTAACGAGTAGCAGCTCTGCGTCATTGAGCAACCTACCCGCTAGACCTAAGGGACATGTGCCGCCGACGATGTCGTCTAGCCTGCGGAACCGCACCTCCTCACCTTCATGGTAGGCGTCCACGAACTCAGTGATGCCACTTGGAGGTGAGGCAAACTCGATCAGCGTTGATGGAGTTCCCTGTTTCGCCGGAGTGCTCGGCACCCCAGATGCAGTGCTCAACACTACTCCTGGACAGCTCGTCATAACTCCTGCAATGCTCGGCATGACTGTAGGAGTGCTTAGCCTCAGTCTTGGAGTGGTCGGTACCACTGCAAGACCTCTTGGCTCCGCCACGGGAGTGCTCGGCACCCGTCCTGAAGTGGTCGCCGCCACTGCAGAACCTCCCGACACAACTCCTGGCGTGCTCGGCATCCCTCCTAGAGTGCTCAGCACTCCTCCCGGAGTGCTCGGCATCCCCCCCAAAGTGCTCGGCACTGCCCCAGGAGTGCTTGGCTCTACCGCTGGAGTGCTCGGCATTCCTCTCAGAGTCCTTGGCACCTCTTCCCCAGCATCTCCACTCCCGTGGATGACCAAGTACTCGACGACAAAGTTGCTGGTGAAGCCGTCAGCTTCCCTCGTGCTCGGACTGCTCCAGTCCCAAGCTGCCTTCTCGTCGAACATGACGTCGCGTGAGACAAGCACCTTGTCTCCGCGTGGGTCGTAGAGCCAGTACGCCTTGGTACCCTCTGCGTAGCCCAGGAACAACATCGGTGTGCTCCTGTCCTCCAGCTTGGTAAGGATCGGCTTCGTCTTCCTGACGTGGCCGATGCAGCCAAATGTCCGGAGGAAGGACATGCTCGGCTTCTGCCCATACCAAGCCTCGAACGGCGTCTTGCCCATCAGGGCCTTGGTGGGAGCGCGGTTGAGGATGAACACTGCAGTGGGCACCGCCTCACCCCAGAACCTTGCCAGCATTCCCTTGGCCTTCATCATGGATTGAGCCATGTCGACCATCGTCTGATTCCGTCGCTCCACCACACCATTCTGTTGTGGTGAATACGGCGCGATGTGGTGTCGCACCACACCCTATTCCGCGCAGTACACAGCGAACTCCACCGAAGTGAATTCGCCGCCGCGATCAGTCCTCAGCACGCGGAGCTTCTTGCCGCTCTTGGTCTCCGCGCGTGTCTTGAACTTCTTGATCGCCGCCGTCGCTTTGTCCTTGCTTGTCAGGAGTTGCAGCCACATGTAGTGACTGTAATCATCCACAAGCAGGAGGAAGTACCGCCGACCACCATTTGTAGCTAGGGTGATCGGCCCATAGAGATCATCGTGGACAAGCTCGAGAGCGTCCGACGCGCGATACTTGGCCGCCTTTGAGAACGGCAACCTCCTCTGCTTCTCGGCTAGGCAGCTGTCACACAGCTCGCCTCCGTGCTTGATGTGGGGTAGCCCTCGGACCAACTTCTCCAGCCGACCGAGCGCGTCGAAGCTGAGATGTCCGAACCGGGCATGCCACAGCCATGGCTCCTCGGTGTGTCTTGCCGCCAGGCACACCGGCTGCTCTACCTTCAGGTCGAGCAGGTACAACCGGTTCTGGGATCTCTTCACCTTGGCAAGAAGTCTCTGCTCCTGGCCCCTGATCCTAAGGACACCATCCTTGATCAGTACCTCATTACCGCGCTCATCCAGCTGGCCAATGCTGATGATGCTAGAACGCAGCTGTGGGATGTAATATACATCCATTAGCGCGCGATGCTCCCCGTTCTGGCACCTGAAGATGATGGTGTCGTGCCCTTGGATTGCCACCCTTGAGCCATCACCAAACTTCACCGTACCGGTAACATCATCGTCGAGCTCGAAGAAGGCTTCCTTGGAGCCCGTCATGTGGTTGCTGGCACCAGAGCAGGTACCACCGCTGCTCCTGGTCGGCGCCCACACGTCCGAGGTGGACTTGGGCGCATGGTTCATCGATGTTGACAGCCTTCAGGGCCTTCCCAAACCCTTCCACCGCCATCACCTCCACCTTCTCCTCTGCCTCGACGTCGTGTAGTGCACAGAACGTTGCCATCAGGATAGTGGCCTCATCCTCATCATCGGCTTGCGCTAGATGAGCCTCAGCCTTCTTCTCCTGCTTGTGGTTTGGGCACTCCCGTGCCCAATGGCCCATCTTCCCACAGCATCGACAGGCGTTGGGGTCGATCAGCTTCTTCTTCTCCGAAGAAGCCTTGTCGCGGCGCTTGCCATCGCCACCGCGGCTGGAGCATGCTGTCTTCCCGGAGTTTCTCCGAGCAGCCCACTCCTCCTCAGTCAGCACCAGTTTCCCGCTGTCCTTCGTTGCTGTCGCCTGTTCTAGGTGCTCGTCCACCGCCCGTAGACAGTCTGTCACATCCTCAATGGTGAGGGTGGACAACTCCAGCATCGTCTCTATGGAGAGAGCGATCCGGATGTACTTTGCCGGCACAGAGTGGAGGTACTTGGAGACTGTCTCCTCTTCGTCGATGGTGACGCCATGGCTCTTCAGCTTGCTGATGAGCGTCTGTAGGTGGAGGGAGAAACCCTCCACCATTTCACCATCCTTGAACTTGAGGTTGGCGTACTCCTGCTTCATAAGCTGAGCCGTCGCCTTCTTTGCGCGGTCGGAACCGACGCGCATCGCCGCAATAGCCTCCCACGCCTCCTTAGCAGAGCACTTCGCCCCCAACGGCTCCCTGTACTCCGCCGGTACAGCAGCGAGGATAGCCTCCAATGCTGACATATCATCTCCCTCATTGTTGGTGCCCTTGTCAACAGCATTCCAGAGCCGTCGGGCTCTGAGCTTGACCTTCATGGTTGCCGACCACTCCCTATAGTTGGTGTGAGTCAACGTCGGCCAACTGGTGCCGCTGACCTCCCGCACCGTGCGAACAACGACCTCCAGTCGTGGCTGGGCAGCCACAACAGTGCCACTGCTGTCGTCCATCTCCGAACCGTTCGTCATCGCCAACGGTTAGTCCGGCGACGGCGCTCGTACGGCTCCGATACCACTTGTTGGGCCACAGGATCACCGGCTCAGGTGAGTCGACCACTCACCGGTCTTGCCGAGCACCCGCTAGTGTTGCCGAGCACCCACTAGCCATGCCGACCACGAAGAAGCATTGTCCGTCACACCAGCGTTGGTCGGAGCCCTGTATAGGAGATGGTAAATCTGAACTCTCTTTGTTGAGTTGCAGTAGCAAACTATATATACAACTCTATCCATCTAGTCCCAGTACAACTGTCATGCTGCAACAGTGACTAGATAACACAGCAGGACTGACTCTGCACCGGTCTCTGCATGTGGCTACAGTGCTGCAGGTGAGCCGTGCGGCGCCCGCACCTGCAGCGGCTACAGTATCACACCAGGGGGACTTTTTCGACGCCGTCTTCCCTTGCTGTGTTCACATAAGGTAGCAGTAGATTATCTAACATTCTATAGCAGTATTGAAGGCCATGCTTTCAATGTTGTGATGCAGAACTTGTATTTTATGAATTGATATCTGGCATGATATCAATTGAAGATTGCATTTTAGTAGTTCTCGAGTAAGGTGCAATCTGTTATTTCAATGCTATGATGCTAAATTACCAATGAAATCGATTGATAGATTTCATTTTAGTACTTCTCGAGCATGACTCATCTTTAGTTAATCATGCAGATCTAGCCGTACAAATAAACTCAGCTGACTGTGATAAGAGACTGAGCCTACTACGAAAGTTCTTTTGGTTGGAGGTGATCTAAGTTTACCACCCTTTTTTTAAACTTCCCAGTGCTTAAGGTCTCTGCTGGTGGAGTTGAAAATTAGTGAATCTGAAATTATTCACATGTGCCTTTCTTTTCGAGATAGCAAAATGTTGTGAAGAGATTTCACCCAATTAGTGGAAAAAACCTGTTTCTTGCTGACAGCTACAGTGGTTTGAAAACAAAACGTCCACAATATGTTCGTTTAGTGGTTTGCCTGCTTCATGGTGCTTTGTAAGGGAGGGCCGGAGGGGGGACTTCAGTATTAGTAGTAATCCATTTCAAATTCACCTCAATTTTTCTGCAAACACAAGGAGGATATTTGGTTCTTCATTTGTTTCGTGCATCGCAATAGTGGCCAGTGCCTCATTCTTTCAGATTTCTGGTGACTCACCCATGAATGCCTGGACAGTAGCAGTACTATGTGAAAGAAAATGTGATGTTCTCCATGCCTTTGGACTAAAGTTAAATTTATTCTCATTCTTTTCTGCAGAACTTATGCCATGAGGGAGCCTATATGCCCTGGATCTCCAAACCTCTAGCTTGCAATCCCATTTCACCGGATGAGTATGAACCAATGCCCGCTCTCAAGACACACGAAGATGAGCCCTAGGGGTGAGCAGTTAGCTGAGATTTGCTTGCAGCCTCCCTGCATCTCTGGTGCTACATGACTGCTCGCTGTTTCGATGCATCAAGGCTCCTCACCTGCCGTGTGCACATGTCATACTTGTTATAAAACAGAACAAAGTTGTATTGGCCTATTGGGACTTTGATATGCCTGCCGTAGGTTTAGCTCTCGTTGTGCAGCTCTTTAGTATCTTATCTGCGACTTCAGTGTCTATGCATTAGTGCTCCTCCGAGGTTTCATGCTCTGTGGTGAATGTTTTCAGAAGATTAATTCATTACCCTCTCAATCCTTCACACACACACGCGCGCGCGCCCGCGCACGCGAAAAAAAAACAGAGATCGGGTATGTCCTCTCCCTGAAATAAGCATGGCACTACACTGACCTGATCTGCACACGATTACATCTGGGTAATAATAAAATGAGTTCATGATAATTCTGGAGAAGTTTTTTTTTCGGCTATATTACACAACATGGCAACAAATACAGCATGGATACTGCAACAATTATACTGCTAGCATTTTATCGTTACAATAGTCGTATGGATGCAGGATTTTAAACAGCAGGATATCTGTATGACCCTTGGTACTACTAATCGTATGGATGCAGGCCTTTAAACAGATCCTTCCGCTCTGGTTGCGTTAGTAACTTCATCAACAGAAACAAGCATCTGCGCTACATCTTCCATGGTAGGTCGTCTGCTTCTATCTTCCTCCAGGCATGAAACAACCAGCATCATCATTATTCTTGCTTGCAGATAGTTGAAATCGCCATTCAGTCTAGCGTCAATGAAGTCAGGGAACCATAATTGTTCAGTGCCATCCAACTGCAGATTCTCATTAAGCATCCTGACTATCCTTCCAAGGACCATCTCCACTTCCTCATCCTCATTATTTTCCATGTCTGAGACACGGGCTCCCTTTAGTAGTTCCAGTAGCACCACTCCAAAGCTGTAGACATCAACCTTTGCCGTAATTGGGAGACTAGAAACCCATTCTGGTGCTAGATAACCTCTAGTCCCTTGGATCTTTGAAACATTTATGTTGGATCCACCTCTGCTCAGGAGCTTTGCAAGGCCAAAGTCGGTGATCTTTGGCATCAAGTTCTCATCCAGCAGTATATTTTCAGGTTTCACATCACAATGGATGACCCACTCTGAACACTCGTGGTGAAGATACGCCAATCCTCTAGCCACCCCTAGCGCAATATCAAATCTTTGCTTCCATCCAAGTAAGATTTCCGAACTCTTTCTGTCAGATAAGAATTTATCCAATGAACCATTCTCAAAGTATTCAGAAACCAATATCCTGTGTGGACCATCGGAACAAAATCCCCAAACTCTCACTAGGTTCATATGATAAATCCTGCTAATCACAGTCAGTTCATGCTGGAATTCTTCTTCACTTTGGTTTATTTCTGCCAATTTTTTCACAGCTACTGCCCTGTTGTCTTGCAAGACCCCTTTGTATACAATGCCTGATGCTCCCCTCCCAAGTTCATCCTTGAACTTTCTGGTCGCCGACACCAACTCTCTGTAGGTGTACCTGCGAAAATGATTAGTTACCATTTCATATCCAGGCTCAGCTGGCCATACTCCTCCCAGTACCATGCGTTCCCTCCTCAAAATAAACCATCCTAATGCAACAAACATTATCTCTGCCAGAAATATTGCTGATAAGAATCCATAGAAGTACAGAAACTTTAATTCACTCTGCTGTCTCTTAAGCATATCCAGAAAATTTGCTATGAAGTACTTATCTGTTGTAGTACAGTCAGGACCATACTTGGGACCAAAGGGTTGTGATTGCGGAATTGAGGCCTCCAACACTTCTACTCCCTTGGGAAGCTTGATGTACATGGTGCCAGTAGTACCAATGTGATGCAGGGTTACACCACCAACAAGAGCAAGCTTTGGATAGCAGTCGCCGATTCCTTCCCAGTATGCAAAACCCTTACAATTGCAGTCATGCAAGCATTTGTTCATACAAAAGTCAAGAGAAACAAAACGAAGGGCAGCCATATCATACCCAAAGAAATCAGTGTGGGGTAGCTTAGCAAATTTCACCATCTGTGCATCACAACTGATGTTGGTCTTTGGTCTGCAGCCTTTGCTCTGCTCACTTGGGTCGATGACTTCAAAACCAGGGGCACACGCACAAGCTGGCACAGGAGTATACACACATATTCCGTTTTCGCCACACAGACCGCGTACTTTGCAAAGCTGAGGAAAGGCCATCCATGTGACCGACCATGTTCTGTCTTCCATATTCAGACTGTATAATCTGAGGTTGCCATCATAATCCAGTGTTAGCCGCCTCGTGATCCCAGGACCCCAATCAGCAGCTGTGAAGGTTGCATTGTCACTTCCAAGGAAATGTCCCCAGGAATCAAGAGCCCCAGATGTACTGCTATTGAATGGCACTCTAAGCTTCTCCCAGATAGTCCTACTTGGATTTGGCCAATAGATAAAAGAAATATTTTTCTCATCATCAAACAGAGAAAGAAGGTACTGATCGTCAAAATGGAAGCTGTAGTGGCCAGGAACAAGTAACCTGTTAGTAGAGACCAGCTTTGTAGGAGCAGTAATTCTCTGAGTGGGTAACAAGGTATCGGTAGGAGAATCAAAGCTTTGCCACAGGATGGCACTATCTTTGCCCTTCACAACGAGGTTCCCGGTGCCCAATAGCCGAGCTTGAACATGCCCAGCATCCGAAGCGCTCACATTGTTGGTCCACACAATCTGGCCATTGTAATCTTTTAGAACCATGCTCCCGTCGACATCTAAGTCGACTCTGGATCCCCAGGTGTACACAGGGTGGAGAGGATTCGCGCTCCAGATGATGGTTCTTTTGGATGATCTGGAGAACCAGATGGAGAAGGTGGAGGCATTGGGAGAGATGCTGTAGAAGCCGCAGGTGAAAGTGCCATCTGGCGAGTGGAGCACATCAGAGCTGTGCTCTACGGAGAGAGACGAACCCGCTGACAGGAAATCATAGGCTGAGACAAGCGAAAGCAGATGAATCAACGTGAGGAGGAGAAGACTGGCTAAGCTCTCATTCATGGTAGATGCTGCAGCTATTAATGATCAATTGCGTGGAATCAGATGAATGTTGATCAGGAGAAGCAGGCGCAGAATCAGGGTTATCTTAAAATGGTGGGATATGCGCATAGGATTCAGGTTGCAATGCATTATCATCCATGGACTGAGCTATGGGAAGGTCAGGTTTGGAGTTTGGACAAAGTGGTATGTTTACCATTAGGCAAGTGCGCTCACATGAGTGGTTTGGAAAAGAACATATTTAGAATTCGTGGTGATATGTTATGGTTACACACCTAATCATGTAAACTTTTGTACAAGTGCTTTATGGAGTATATCCAAAATGTAACCTCCTGTGCGAACTGAGCATAGGTTCCTTTGGTGGCTTGACGTGGGTGCTCGTGTTTTACTGGATTTATTCGTACCATCATGAGACGGAGCACAGAATCAGTGTGAAAACAGATCATTCGGTCGGAGGATATATATGACGCTTAATGTCTTAGAAATGTGGAGTGTAGCCACGATTTTGGACTAGTACCGAGCCATTGTCGAAACGTAAAAGCTAGCGTGGCCGTCAACCACACATGCTGAGACCACAGACCAGTGCGGTGCAGACCACCAGTTCTGCACGAGGACGCGATTGAACTGAACGTTAAGAAACAGTTCATTATATGGGAGCAGGGTAACCTCTAACCTTTTTTTTCTGCATAATAATAGTAGCCGGAGACTGTTCGTCAGATGTTACCGATCGATCGAGGAGTCGTCTGTGGTCCAACAGAGACGTAATTGTAATCAGGGTTGGGCGGTTGGCCAACGCAGCAGATCGAAGGTGCCGGAGAAAGAGACGGCCACCAGTCCATATAGGCAGAGACGTGACGCCGCCGCTGACATATCGTCGACCGGTCGACGGCACCAGACGAGACGAGCGTCGGCCGGCCGTGTGAACGCAGGACTGAATTGGGATATACATTCACTGATTAACATTCACGTCGACGGGACGGCGCGGACGGTTGGCCGTCCCTCTCGACCTCCGCAGCGCAATCATGTCGCTCACCAACTTGTTAACACTCTGATGAATTATCGTCACTCATCTCATCTGCAGTGTTAACACTGCAGCAGATGCCACCAATGCAACAGCCTGCCGGTGTGCGCGTGCCTCTCCACCTGCGTCGTCTCTATCATGCGCCACGTACGATGCGCTGCCCCCCGGATTCTTCTTCTCCTCGTCATTGAAGATGCCCCAGTCTGCCATGCATCCTCTTCCTCCACCAAAAGCATGTGTGTTCATCGGTCCTGACTCCAATTTTTAAACACCGGATTCGAACTATACTATTTCATGCCAAATTCATGTGGAAATCCTGTGATTCGGCGCTTCCCACTATTATAGGAAAGGTTTCTGAGGGCGGCTGGTGAGGCTTTGTAGAGGTGGCTCGGCCAACCGCCTCTAACATACCATCTATATAAATCATGTATTTGTAGGGGTGGCTTCTAAACCGCCCTTACAAATCGATTTGTACGGGCGGCTGGTATAATACATGTTTAACTGTCCTTACAGTATATTTTTCTGCAAAAAAAATTCAAATTTATAATTAAATTCGACCAGAATACACGCGCGCGCGCGCACACACACACACACACACATATATATATATATATAATTTAAATCTGACCACAGGCACAAGAGCATTATATAAACTACTATTACAAGTCCAATTCACAAGAATATATACAATCCATCATTAAAGTTATCAAACAAATTAATATAAATATTGGCCATGTTTGGCTTACCCCATATTCGACTTGTTCGGCTTCTTTTTTCGGCCGGAACAGTATTTTTCTCTCACAACAATTCAGCCGGAACAGTGTTTTTCAGCCAAATTTCAGACCAGCGAATGGGGCCATTAACTTAGGCAATAGAAAGAGACAACAACGATCAAACACACATACAAATTATCAACCAATTTAATATAAATATTAACTTAGGCAACAGAAAGAAACAACAACAGTCAAACTTATAATCCACCTGACTACAAATTTAATAAGAATTTGAAGGCATTTTACAAACTTCAACATTTGCAGAGCAAAGTACTGTCAAGTTCTTTCATTTTCGAGAACTGTTGAGATACGAAGATGGATACTTGACGACACAGAAACAAATAAAAGGAAGGTTCAGAGAAGTGACAGCTGAAACCTTGCTGAATATATGCGCTTGATCTTTGTGTTGCTGTCGACCTGCAAGCATAACTGAACTAGAAAAAGAGTTGTTCAAAGACAATTAAATCTGAACTTCAGTAGAGAACTGAAGCAACCAGATAGACTATGTAGATAAAAATACAGTTAGAGACAGTTAGACATCCTAGGCGTTTTCTGTAAGCATCCATGTATATTTGCAGTCAAAGGTTCACAATTCAAAGGGATCAAGCTTCCTGGCATTATACCAACAAATCAGTTACTCATCTCACGAGTACCTTTTTGGTTGCCATTGCAAATTGAAAGAATCCAAATCTGAAAACAATCCCAGAAAAGCATGCAAAGAACATGATTCATGAGGCTCCCTGAAAATTGCATGTATGCAGAAATCTTGCATACTATAGCATATTCATAGTCTTCAGAGAAGCTCATAAGAAACAGATTATATCCTATACTTCTTTTTTATTGCAGCCTTGCAATTTATACTAGTTTTAGCACAAACAAAATGCACTGACACTCAGCTAGGCATAAATATTGTGTAGCGAGAAATTTAACTAACCATTCACTGGACGACAAGGTTTTTATAATAAAAAATAAAACGTGTTGCCAAAAATAAGTTTGCCTTTTATAGTAAGAACATGTGGAAGTGGAACCTGACAAATTATTCATCAGTTGACAGATTCAGTAACAAATTTACAGTAAGATATTTTCATTCACTAGACAAATTCATTATATGTACTTAATTACAGTAAATCCTATATGGACTAAGTTACACCAAAAATAAATTAGAAATCTATAAGATTAAAACAGATTTCATTGGATACAATGGCATCCCTGTGGCACTGTATATCATATAAAGTGGTATGAAAATCACAAATGGACACCACTCAGGTATTAATAGTGCATAGATTTAAATTTCATTTCTAAGAAAGTACCTATGTAACTTCACTGCTGTGTTGGGCTGAACTTGCGAAAACTAATATATGATACTCCACTGCATTCATACGATTTTCTTCTCTTATTTAGTAAACCTAGGAATACATCAGACACACTCATACTCGCAGGCACTGCTTCATAATATTATATTAAATGAAACACCAGATGAAATCTTTGTTAATTATATCTATTTAACTGATTAGATATAAATGGATCTGATGCATGGTGATCAAAATCGAAGCCAAATCATATGGATTAGGGAGGGAGGAAGAGAGGGGAACCGACCAGCACAGAGATGGGGTTCGCGCTGCCCGAAACGATGTGGAGATGACGCAAGGCAGCCGGATTCGTCGCTGTCGCCTACCTAACCTCACACGGGTGCCGAAGGAGATGAGGGCGCTGCCACTTGGGGGATGCGCCGTCGAGGGGCAAGGGAGACGGATCCGCCCATCGTTGCCGACCTCACCTCAATGCGCCATTGCTTGTGGCCAGGAGGGAGGTCGCTGCTTGGTGACTGGGGGCACCGTCGTGGGCCGAGGAAGACAGATCCGCCGCCGCCGTCGTAGGCCGAGGAAGGCTGATCCACCGCCACCGTTGCCGCCGCGGGCCGAGGAAGGCTGATGCGCCGCCGCCGCCGACCTAGCCTCGAGCGCCATCGCTTGGGGGCTAGGGAGGGAACGCCGCCGTTGGGGGCCAAGGTGCGCTGCCACTTTTGTGAGAGAGAGATGCCCGGGGAGGTTGTGGCGGCTGAGAGAAGGGCTAGGGTTAGGGCGGGTGCTTTTATGCGCCCACTTTTGGGCCAGCCGAAAGGCCAGCATAGCCCAGGCCCAAGTTGGCTGCGTGGCTCAGGTTTCACCGCCCGTCGAAATTAATTTCTCTGTCGCTGATTCAGCCGCCCCTACAAATCGACGCATTTGTAGGGGCGGCTCGTATTACCATCCGCCCCTACTGTGCCATTTGTAGGGGCGGCTGCTGTGCTGGAGCCCGAGCATGCCACTGTAGGGGCTGCTCCAATGCCAGCCGCCCCTAAAAAAAGGCTCATTGCTACAAACTGTTTTTCACGTAGTGTCCGGATCAGGTCAGAATCGAATGATGATCCTGAAGTGAAGCTCAGCCGCCCAGGCCGACCATGGCATCTGCGCCCATCATGGGCACCCCCAACAAATGGACCAAATCATCGGTCCACCCTGTCATAGTTCCCAACAAAACCACCTCGCGGTCACGACGCCGACGACCCAAGCTTCACATGGGCACACGGTGCGCCCATATGCCCCCGCCCGAATCACACCAATTCTTTATGCACCGGCAAAGGCACACAACGCCACCTCACAGGATCACACACCCACATGCGAACCATCAAAGATTGGAGTAGCTCAACTCAAAGGCTTCCCGAAGGACCAGCGTCAGAATAGGGGGGAAAGTTGCACTAAGCTAAGAACACAAGAACAATAGCCCTAGATCTCAATAGCTGCTGCATGCATATACCAGTAAGATCTAACCGTCTCTCAAACCTCAAAGCATGGATCTAGATCAAGAAACCAACCGACCCAAAAAGAGGAACTAACCTAAAAAATAAATGGTGTATATCGAGTAGCAAGCTCATATGATATGACCCTATCAGTATAAACATGTGCACTCACTCACAACCATGACCCAAACTTTTTTATAGTGGAAAAACAGATGCAACAACAACGTACGTACATGTTGCTATGCCATCACTTCTTCCTAGGCTTGGACTTTGGACCGGTGGCGTGCCTTCTGGCGCCGCAGAGCCCCCGCTAAAGATGGTGCAGAGGATGCAGCTGTTAGATTGATCTCCATCAGTTGGCCCAATGACCAATTGAGCCCTTGATCCGTGCCTTGATTGGGGGCGCCCAGCCGTTCTCCTGGCTGATGGG